CATCATTTCAAAATGTGTAGAACATTTTATTATCGACTTCGACAGGTGTTTTGTCCATTGTTGTGTGTATTTTCGGAGGCCTCACTTGAAACTTTTTTTAAGATTTTTTTTATATTTTTGTGGATCTTGAGACTTGAATGATTTTTTTTTCGTCTAATTTCATTATTGACTTTTTGCATAGAGGTGATGAAAATTGTTGAATGAGAGTCACTTGAGATTTTTGAGTGGTTTGGAAACAAATTTAGGGATTATTATGGATTGTTTTGATATAATTTAGTAAAGTGATGCTTGATATTCAATCATTGTATTTTTGATTGTATCAAAATAAAGTTGTGCAATTTTTCTGAGAAGGTTGATGATTTTTGATTTTATAGACCCAAAACTAAGCTATAGTTCTGTCTAAAAATCAAAGTTAAAAATTTTATGGATTTTCTATAGAAACAACTTGCACATTGCTTCTCATAGGAATCAATAAATGTACCTGTTCCTTTTTTGCAAGTTGTAATAAATATTATTCTATCCTCTTGAGCATCATAGCTTTAAAAATTGAAATTTATAAATCATCAAATAATTTTCTAGGTCAAAAAATTCCTATTTGATCTTTTACGCATTTATATTAATATAAATCAAGGCTATAGGAAGTCTCGACTTTTATTAACTTTCACACAATATAAAACAATACTCAGGATTTTATTGCAATATATTGTTCATGCGGAGACTATTGTAAGAACATTGTTGACAAGCCAATTACCTGTGTTTCGCAATGGGACATCAGAATTCCGCAATTTTCTTTGTATTTGAAGGTTTGTTGATAATATTTTTATTTAAGGATGAATTGCCATGAAATCAAAGTTCCGAATTAGTTTGAAACTGGCCATATCTAAAGTAGGCATGACATTACTGTCTGTAGTATTTTTAAGAATGTGTTTGAAGTCTTTGCGGACTTTGTTTCGAATTTTTGAATTTAGCAGTTTGATTGTCAGCGATCAACAGTCACCACAAATCTTTGGTACTTAAATAAATTCAGTATAATATAAATAGAAATTCCAATAACCTAATAAGCTTCATTTAATATCCTATAAGTCTGTTTAAACAAAGAAGAACTTCTACAGCTTCCCGACATCCCGAAATCCTCTCATATCTTTTCTAATCTCAATCAGTCCCAAAAAAATCTACGACAGACAATACAAAAAGTATCAAAAATTTCGGAAACAGTTGCAATGCATTCAAAAAGTTATTAAAACTCTTCAAAACCTCAAATCCTTCCTAAATTCATCCTCACAGCTAAAATAATTCTAGTAATTTTACTTCCATGTATTAAATCCGAAATGTAGGGGAGAAAGGAATTGAAAATTGACTTTACCTACTTGCCATATGCCCTGAACAAAAAAAAAATGAATAAAATAAAAAATTTCAAATTCCCGTTTTTCTACATGCATTAGAGACTGATTCCTTATTTTCAATACGAAAAAAAATAAAAAAATAAAGGAAAGCGAAAAGTGCATCATCTACCTCTAAAAATAACAACAATAAGAGACCTCTCGATGCACAGAATGCATGAGTAGAAAGAAAGAAGAAGTCAAAGAGGAATTGATAGTGGAAGAAAAGGAAGAACAGAGCCAAAAAGGATCGCAAGTGAGGCAATGAACTCTTTAAATTATCGTAAATTTTTTTTTTGTTCTTCTTCCTTTTTGCCGGTGAATTTTACAATGCATTTGTAGAAATCATATGTTCGCGCGTCGCTTTTACATTAAAACAAACAGAATTGAAAATAAAAGAATGAGAGAATTTGTGCATTTATGTCTTGATAGTAAGCTGAAGCAGCTTTGGGGTTTATTGGATGTTTTGTAGCTTAGTAGTCTTGGAGAAACTGTGATCAGGTTTAATCTAACTGAATCTATGCACCAGATCTTTGCTAATGGTCAATTGCTCATTATTCCCTGCGCCTGCTTGTTTAAAGACAGTTCATTGTACAGATTTATTCAAGGTTTTCAAAACTATATGCAGATTCTCACAGTTTATAATCAGATTAAAAATCTAGCATCTAGAGCTTGAGAAAAGAGGCCTTCTGTCTTTGACTAGGCATCAAGTAAGTTAAATTTGTATAAGTAAGTCTAAGATCCCAAATATACGTTAGACAAATTTGGAATTTATCACAAAACTTCTCCATGTATTGTATGATCTATAAAAATATGCAAATCTAAGGCAAATGTTCAACATACAATCAAGAATACTGTCTTGCATCCAATCTTGCAGCTGATTTTGCTTAATTTTGAATGATTTCAGTTGTAGTGCAGATTTATTAGAGTTTTTGAGCCATCACTACTTTTCGGTAACAACAAAAACATAGAACGCAACTAGATTCCTATCTAATTCTTTTATCATAAAGCATCACATCATTTCCAAACATCCCAATTGTTTCAAATTGTTTCAATTTCGTTGTTTCCGAGGATATCAAGTCGCAACAATAAGAAATGAACAACAAAAAAAAAAACAGATGTTAAGTGCTGATTTTCATGGTGATAATTTGAAATAATCGAAAATTGCACTGTTAAGAAAACGTCTGGTACGCGTGGTTGTATGTAAATTAGTTAAAAATTTCATTCATTCAATCAAATTGATCTCTTCCTCCCTCCCATACATGAAAATATTTCCCACTGTCCAAATTAATTCTAATGGAAATCGCTTAACCTCTTTCCGATTACCTTCTCGGACAGAATTGCTAAAAAATTAGTTCTCCTTCCGTTTTGAGCGACCTCTTCTTTCCCATTCTTGATGCGATGCACATCCCACATAATATAAATTTATTTAAAGAAAATGAAAATGATCAACATTTGCTAAGCACAACTGCATTTTTCTGTTTCCACATTTCTTGGATGCGAATGGGAATTGATGACCGTTACTGCCCGCTTTAATTTACTTTGAGACACCTTCCACCTTTCTCTGTTTCAGTGAGGAAACAAAAATAAAGGAACAGACTATGATTATGATGACTATGATGATGGTTATTTGGGATTAAAAAAACATGTGAAAAAATTAATTTCCGATTCTCTAGACGACACTAAAGCGGACGCAACAACATGTTGGTATGATGATTTAAATACGAAATAGAATTGGTCGAGGATATGAATGCATAAGGGTAGATTTATTTGATCAGTTCACAGCTTTTCTTATACTCGCCCCGGTTGAAAGAAGGAATTTTAATGACTTTTAAGTCTTAAAATTATGTGTGGATATAAAAAACGTTTTGAGGGAAGATTCCGAAAAGGCAACGACGATGATGAAGAAAAAAATAAGGGTCAGGTGCTTTTCAGTAATTTCTCTTTAACGACATACACAATACAAATACAAATGTATAGCTATTGTATGTAATAATATTGTTATTTTTTTTTTCAAGCTGCTGCTGCTCACTTGACTTGATATTTTTTTTACAGATTTTTTAATACACAGCGGCTTCGATTGGTATCATGCAAAGTTTAATGGACGCGCGAAGGATTGAAAGCTGTCTTTGGAATGGAATTTTTTGTTCGTATGCTCATTTTCTTCGTCCCTCTTTTCCATCTCCCCTTTTGCATAAGTTTGACTGAGTTCATTGTTCTAAAAGATATGAACGTAAAAAAAAATTGAGAATTTACGATGAACACCTTTCTGTCGTCTGTTTTCAATTTATTTTCTTTTTATTCTCCTTTTTTTCTCGTCTTGGTCTTCATATCCATTCACCTTTCAATTTTTATTAATATTATTTTTTTTTTTTTGGAGATCCTTACAATGATTTTATCAAGTCAAAGATTTGAAGGTTGAGATCTCATTTTTTAGCTATTTTTATTATTTTAATCAACAATGAATTTAATAAGGTGGATAGGACTTTTCCTTATGACTAATAAATTCTCATTTTATGAGGATCATTAATTTGATGAAGGAATAAAATTTCTCTGATAAATGTGGCTCGTGCTTATTAAACCTGATGTTCTTTAATCAACAGTTTTGAATTTAAGAATTTCTTATCAATTATTAAGGAGGAATTTCTTTCTTTCATTCATTTTTCAGCCATATGTACAATTTTTTGAGGATGAAATGATATATTTTGGAAATTATGGGATTTGAAGCATCAAAGATTGTCTTGTAATATATTGCTGGGGTGCATTTTGATAGCTTTAATATGGAAATGGTTTACAAAAATTTTAATTAAAAAGGAATGTTCTCAAATTAACAAGCAGAAGATGCGAAAGATAAAGGTAGTTCTAGTTTCTTTTAAGCGAAGAATCCTCGCCATGTGCATATCAGCCGAGCAAATAAGTAAATAATAAAGCTCATGATAATAGCCTGCATAGAAATGATGACAATAAGGTTTAAAATGGTTTTTGAATTGCCATCAAAACAGAATGGAATAAAGAGAATTAAGCTTTAATTTACAGCATTTAAGATATCTACAGTTTTTCAAGAATAGTTTGGAAGCATGTAGGAGAATCAAGTGGTTCGAATTCCATTATAAACTGTAGGTCTAAAGCGTGAGGAAGAATATATATTTACATTCGCAGTACCATCAGCTCAAAATGCTGAGCCAATTCAATCATTATATATATATGCAGTAAAACAAAGGTTCGATTCCTTGAAATTTATGCTTTGGCAATCAGCATATTGATTGAAGACATGCTGAAAGTATTGTCGCTTGATTTTCAAGTTACTTAAGTTTAGATCTACACTCGAAAAGATAAACCTAGTTGGAGATTTTCTAGTTAAAAGTTGGCAGATTAGTTTAAGAGTTAAATTCCAATTCTTGATGACAAGCAATAGGAGCAGAGAAACAATTGCCAGTTCCAATTCAACGTTGAATTACTGAAAATTTAATAGTTTCTGAAAATTTCAACTATACAGCTCAAAAAGATAAACACAATTTTTTTAAGATTTCATTTTAGTTTTTATTTAAATACGATATGATATTAATGCTTATGAAAAAAAAAAATTATTTAACAAAAAAATTCACAAGTTGATAAAATAAATAAGGCAAGTATACATACAACACTAGACAATCATCAAGAAAATTCTACATATTCTTAAAGACGATTAACAAAGTCCTAGCTTTATATTTAAGAATTAAAAAAAAATGCACAATTAAAGGAGAAAACAAAAATATTTATTTTTTTGATTAAAGTCTTCCACAACTTAAATTTTCTCCTTCATGTCCATAATATAAAAATAAAATAATAATTATGAAAAACATTTTTCATTCTACACATTGAAATTTGCACATTCTGCACCATAAATTAAAATGAATGCATTTTCATCTCGCGCACAATCAATCTTTGGCAAAATTAGCTGACTTTTTTATGCTCCTTACTACGAATAATAATTGAACAGCTTCGATATTTTCTAGTTGATTAAATATTACAAAAAAAATTATATATAACAATGAATGACTTAAGGTAACTTGCTCCCACTAATCAAAAAATAGTAGCTACTTTTATAGTACAGTACGTTGAGTGTGAAAGGGAAATATGTAAAAGTGCTCGCGGAACACTTAATTTAATAAATTATATAATTATTTTATATCTAAAACTTTTCTTTTAACTAGTTTCTAGGTTATGTTGATTTTTTTTCGTAAGGGTTGAGTACTGGTTGGATAGATTGGGATGACTTTAAGGGGTCTAAAAAATTTCAAGGTTTGGTTTTGACTTGGTATTGAGGAGTTAAAGGACTCTCACTTTAAACCTAGACCAACAGTTTGAAGTGGGATCCGAACTCATTTTTGTATGAAATCAAGGTTCGAATATCAATAACCTTGATAAATTGAGAAGATATTGCCAAATAATTTAAAACCTAACCTCAAAACTTTTTCAAATTCTATGAAATTTGATCAATTCTAGTCCTGTACACATCAAAGAAATCTTCCAATATCCCCACAGTACCCAGCTCTCAAACTTTACAAATAGAAAAAAATATAAATGCTTTGGTTCTACCACTTTTTCAGAGAATTTATAAAATAAAACACTTAATTAAATTACTTTCATTGTATCAGTACATAAGGCAACAAAGGGATTAGACAATAGTCAAACATTAATCTCTTATCTTCATTTTAATATATTTGAATGGCTTCGTCAGATTCTCGTCGTACTCCTCCGTCTTAAAAGTTTCGGTTTTAATAAATTTTACACTCTCATTTTCACTTTCAATTTGATGCGCCGACTCACGATGACGTCGAAGATCAACTTTTCGTTGAAAGCCTTGCTCGCATAAACCGCATGAGAATGGCTTATATGATCCATGTTTGCGCATGTGGGTTATTAAATTGCTCGATTGTGAGAATGCCTTTTCACACACTGGGCATCGATGTGGTTTTTCTCCTATTTTTATTATTTAAAATTATTCATTAGTCAACATGTTCTGTTTATAAAATTGTAGTTTTTATGTCCCTACCTGTATGAATATACGTATGCTTCTTCATATCTGACTTTTGATGAAATCTTTTACCACAATAACTGTGAATGTTAAATAAAAATAGATTAGAAAAAGAGTTGACAAAGAAGTTGTTAATTTATGCTTCACCTGCAAGGATATGGTCGCGTATCTGAGTGTATCAGTAAATGTGTCGATAATGTGCTGGATCTCTTAAATGCCTTTCCGCATTGCTTACACTGGAATTAAAGAAACAACAGAATTTTTTTTTAATTAACTTCAAATTTGAAAATTATTTATTCTCACAACCCCATTTGTAAGTTTAAGTAAAATTATTCCATAAAATTTAATTGCTAGCCTTATTTAAACATTGTGTGCACGCAACACGCGAAAAGGAATCATTAATATCAATTATGATTGAGCAAACAGAAAATCATCTTCGATTTCTTTTCGACGATGATTTGAAATGCTCAACCCCTTAAATTTATGTTGGGTGGTTCATAAATGATGTGTATTGAAATTAATTAAGCTTTAACAATAGAATCACAATCATAAAAACGTATTGTTGTTCTAATTGGTGCTTCCTTAAATTTTTTTAAGTTCCTGATTTAACATTAAGTAAGATTTTTGAAGTAAAATCTGTGCTGCAAAGTTGATGGCTCTGAATTCATAATTCTCGTTAACTGTAAGTCTTGCTTTACATGCCACTGTAGATGTCACACTTTAGACCATCCAATCTACCAAAATCAAGGCTCTTCCCTAAAACAATTTTTATAATTTCATAATAAATGAACATCCTGTTTGATTATTATAGAAGTTCCAAAAACAAAAAACTTTCAAGTCACTCAACCAAAATATATTTTTTAATTTTTCTAATCGATGAGTTTCTGTGTCAATTCCAATATTATTCATCGTGTAAGTTTATGATCAAAATAAAGTTTTATGTTAAAAGTACTTAAAACAAGTAACGATTATCTATGAGAAGCAATTGCTATCATTAAATGAAACGTCAGCATGATTAAATTGAGGTTTATGGAATGGACGATTCGTGCAATCGCGTAATTAAACCCCTTTTTTTCTTATTCAAAGGACTCGTGTATTAATTACAAATTGAATGCGATTCTAATCTTTCATAAATTTTTTTGTTCCAACCCCTCCTCAACCCTCGCATTTCAAAATGTCATTCATTATAAGATTGTCGTATTTTCGTGACAAAACAATAAAGGTCCTTCCTTACTTCCTCCTTATGTAATGATTCAAACAGGAAAAATAGACAAAATTGATTTAATTATTTATATTTACTGATTGACGATTACTGCTTTGACTGTTTATCAATACTTGTAGATCATAAATGATAAATATTGGGAGGGAAATACTTTGCGTGATTATCAAATTGACACGATTTTTACAAAAGCTTTTGTAATGTGATATATTTCTGGACATAAATTCTTTTGTAATTTAATTCAAAAAATGAAGAATAGACACAGCGCAATTGCTTGAAAATATTAATTATTCTTATTAAATAATTCGTGGGATTATTGATTATTTTTGAGTTTGAATCTTATTAAGGGTTGAATTGTTGTGGACATTTGATTGAACGAATCTGAAGATTGTTTAAAAACTTTTGAATTGAATTAATTGTACATTGAAATAAATTATTAGATCTTTAAGTGTTTTGTTGACTAGATGCTAAGATTCAAAAGAATCTAATCTAAGCTTCCGATAATTGAAAAGTTTGGTGAAGCTATTTTTGATGATTTTCAACTATTCAAATGTAATAAAAGTTTTAAGCTAGTTTAATAGAAGCACTCAAATACAAAAAGAATTTCACAGCCAAAGCCACTTGAAATTTAGATTTAAGTTTGAATCATTCAATTTGATTGGATTTCAAGACTGAATCCCTTTAAATTGTCGTTCAAATTGACTCTTAACTTATTTAAAATTCATTTCAAACTTAAGAATTGAATTAATTAATTTTGAGGAAATCCTGTTGCTGATATAAGGGTGAATAAAAGGAAATCCTGTAAATCATATTCAGAGCGTAAGATCTTATAGATTCAAATAAAGTTTCATTGCTCAATTTTATTATCAATTCCAAACTCATCAATTTTCACTGTTAAATCCTTAAATTTCAATTCCTCAATCTCATAAATCAACTTTTAAAAATATTCCACCTTTGAACATACAACGCAATTAATTGATTCCCATCCCTAGACCAGTTCACATACATTACCATAACATATAATAACCCACATGAAAAGCTTCCCCGTAAAAATTCATAAATAATTTTTTTTTATTGTAGCATTTAACTCACCTCAAAAGACCTCTCCTTTTTCCCACGCTCATCACGAAATTCGCGTACGAGAAAATCGCTGTGTTCTGTTGAGTCAGGCTTAATAATCGGTAAACTTTTTCTTGATACCTTTGGCACTTTATCAAGTAAAATATTAGAGCTATCACTTCCGCTAAAGCTCGAATTTAAATTATTATTATTGTATGATAAACTATTATTATTATTGTTATTATTATTAAGTAACAGCATATCTGTGCAGTTCTTCTTTAAAATATCATAATCAACTTGTTGAGTTTCACGTTTAATTGTTAATCCTCGAAAATTATCGAAATTAAATTTCATTTTTGGGGTTGTTGGTGAATGTTCCATAGAATTTTCATTCTTAATGCCAAATGACTTGTCATTATGACTTACGAGTGATGCTGGCGACCAAATGGCAGAGAATAAATTTGGATTGATTTTTGGTGTTGATAATGACGATGAAATGTCTGTATCCCGATGAATATTATCCTTTGTAGATAGATTAAGTGGCTCATCGATGTCCATTTCATAATTTTCTTCTCGTTCCGGTGTCTCTGGTGTCAAAATATAGTCACGATTAAGCGAGATTTGCTCATTTTTGTCGCGAGCATTTAAAACTGGTTTCTTCTCATCGTCATTCTTATTCGTATCACCACCAAAGACAGGTGGCAATGAAAAGATGAGTTGTTGCCACCAGAATGGATTTGCTGTATAAAAAATTGTTGGGTTTTGATAAAGCATCGACAAATCAGGAAGAGCTGAATTTCTCTGCAACATTTTGAGTTGTTCAATTTGATAAAGATATAAAGGCGATGATGGATTTAATCCAAATTTCGATAACTCCGATGATGTTGATGCAGGCGAGGGAGGGGATGATAAGTTTGCCATTTTTTTTACAATTTTAAAATTAAAATATTTCAAGCACTTTTTAAAATTTCAATCTGAATCCTTTGAAAATCGAGGCACAACTGAATGATTTTTTTATTTTTATTTCACAAATCAAATTCTTTTCATTTTAATTCAGTTCCGATGCACGAATCCTTTTTTATTCACTGTCTGGGACGACGATCAATTTATTTTCCCAACCGTTCTGTTTCACTCTCGATTCACGACTGATGCATGGAAGTGAAAAAGAAACTTCTTTTGCCTTTATTTTGTGTCTTTTTTTTTTGTTACTTCTTATTTCATTCTACCAACAAAGCACGATACACACAGTTTTTTTTTTATGTATCGGTGAGAATCGCCACCAGCCGGCAAAAAAGAGGTTCTGTTGGGAAGATACATTATTATGGTGGCATGTTGCCCGATTTTTCCAAAATATGCTGTACGATAAAACAGAAAAAATACAATAAAAAATAAAGCGTGGAAAGGCAGGCAAAAGGTACGATTACATATGCTCTCTTTTATTTTGTGATATTCTCATTAACTTTTTTTTTTGTTCCTTCTTCTTTGTCTTCGGTGTTTCATCTAATGCAATCTAAGATTTATTTTTTTTTCGACCTGAGGCATGTGCCGCAGAGATTTTTGGGTCATGATTAGCAGATGACTCACTTTTTATGGATTCCTTTTTTTCAATATCATCTTTTCTATTAAAAAATATTTGATGATTTTTAAAAAATCAGTTTTTTGGGAAATTGAAATTCTAGACAAGATTAACGAGGTCCGATCATCTTCAAATGGATTCTTAGAACTTTTTCGGTTCCTCAGAAATTTAAATCCAAATCAAATAATTCGCATTAAAAATAGAAATTTCTGCACAATCTCAATGCTTCTTTCTTATACAAATCTAGGCTGGGTGTGTCTAATTCACGATTGGCCCAAAACAGCCAATCACAATCCTCTCGCATTCTCTCAAAAAGAGAGAAATTTTCTGCTGTGTGAGCATAAACTATTTTCAAAACGACTGACACTTTTAAAAGTTATTTTAATGGAAAATTAAAATTTTACTGACCACTTTATGTGCTATAGAAGCTTGTCTAGGGTTGAATTTATTTAAATTTTTGATATTCATTCATCACAACTGTGATAATCGTTAGAAATAACAGAATTTTTTTTAATTGAAACAATCAAATGGAAGTAAAAGAGGTATGGTGAGGTGAGTTTTGGTTTTGGGACGCATATGGCAATAGGGTTTGAGTATTAAAAGCTTTATGTGTCTAGTGAAAGATTAATAGATGTAAAAGGTTAGATTCGGAATCACGAAAATTGTAAAAAATCAATTGATAAATTTCATGAATTGCTGAGCTAGTTTTCAATGGATTCATGCTGTATTCTAACCTGATTAGTGTTAATTAAGTCTGTTTAATGCGTAAAAGTGAAAAAGCTCCAAAAAGTTCGTTAAAATTTAATTTTAAAACCATACAACAGACAATATTCAAATCTCATTTGTAAGGTTCGGATTACTTAAATAATCCGCTACAAACCTTGACAAATCTTCACAAAAACATGACAACCTTCATTTTTCCACAAAAATCAGCCAACACCGATGATATCTAGAAAAAATCATCCCCTACATAAATAAACGAAGCCATCGAAAATCACCAAAGCATGAACCTTGAAAAAATACACTCGTGCTCAAAACATATGAATCCCTTCTGTCTCTATATATGCATTCCGATTTATTAGACTTAATTTTTATTTAAAACCAAAAGAAGCAATCCATGATCGCTAGTAATTTGTATAAATTATACCTTTGACTTTTCATTCGTCTGCAACACATGTCATTCATTTTTTCCGTACCAAAATCGTACATAGTTAAAGGCTGAATGGAAATCTCCCCTTTATTATTGCTCATCGTCGAGGTTTGATGATCATTTCACTGATGACATTTGGTAAATTCGTTACATATCAACTTTTAAAGTTGAAAAATAGAGCAACAATGAAGCAACATCCAGCATCGAACTTTCTCTGTGGCCATCATAAGCAATTTTCATTTTTCAATTCCATGTCATCACCACCTTGCATTTACCAAAAGGCTGTTAAGAATTGCGCATAAATTATCATTATATTGTTAATTATGACGTTAAGCACATCAAGAAGCCGCTTGCATGCAGCGAGAAAGTAAAAGAAAGAACAGAATTGAAAAAAAAAATCCCATCTTCATCGTCATTTCATTAATTTTTCTTTCTTCCTCAGTCATCATATTTTCTTCCTTATTAATAAGTATGTAAGCGAAGGAACAAAGTGTCCACGAGCCAAAAAATAAAGAAAGAGGAAAAGGTGGAATGATAAAACGGAAGAAATTTGCCCAGGCTCAAGAGATCGATGAATTTGCTGCGATGCTTGTTTTTTGGTAACTTGTTATTGATTAATAGTTTGAGGAACTTAGCTTCTTGAATGTGTTTCTTAATGAATTTAGTAGCTTTACATTTCATCTTGTTGGTTTGGGGCCGTTCACTTTTTACGTTACGCAAAAAAACAACTTTTATACAATATGTTACAACTCACAACCCCCCCCCCCCCCCCCAACCCCCTGAACGTTCATAATTTATTTTATCATTAAAAAGGTGGAAAATTTAAAAAAATGTTTTTGGTGTAAATTTGTGAACAAGTTTTTTTCGTGAACTTTTTTTTAAAAGACAGACGACAGTTAGAACGTTACAAAATTCTTGACACCCCCCCCCCCCCCCTATGTTAATGCTAGAATAGTTATTGACTGATTCTGATTCTCAATATTGTTCAATATGAGAATTATTAGGAACTTCGATTTAATATTGAGAACGTTAAAAGACAGCTCTATCCTTTGTAAACTTCTCAGAACATTAAAGACTCTAGCATCTTTTACCGACTCATATAAAAAACAGGAACTGTTCGGAATGTTCGAAATTCATGGTTCTTGTATATTTCACATCCGAGTTCTTACTTGTTTGCACTTTTTCTTCGTTTCTATTTGCTGGTTAAAAGATTCCTCTTGTACTACTAAGGGATCGCACTTATGACGTCCGAAATTAACGGTCATTTTCAAAAAAGAACAATGGATTTCCAGGAATTTCTGTTGTTCTTTTCTTGCTGACCCCCCCCCCCCCCCCCCTTAAAAAGTAAATAAGTGAAGTAAATAATTCACTCACAAAATCCTTTGAAAATAAGTATCAAAACCAACAACCTGAGCATTCCTAGATTCACCAAATCAAGTCTCATTTCCGTTCCTTCCTCTCATCAAAAAAAATATGCGTTAAAAATGACAAGTCATTTGAGTCTCAAACCTATAATTAGAAGAAAACAATTCTCAAGATTTCTTTGGTCACGAAATGTAAAAGCAATCAAGAACTCACCGAAGCATAAAACAGCAGCACATGTTGATCCACTGGGCAAACACACGTGAAACACGCGCCAAAAAAGCTTCAGTTATGTTAATAAAAAATAAATGTATGAACATGTAAGTGTATTAAACATATTCTGAAGAAAGAGCTCGAGCAAGTTAAGAAAGGTAGAAGGAGAAGGAAGAAAAACAGCTGTCTCTCGCGCTTCGGACGAAGAATGTATACAAGGGAACAACAGCGAAAGCATCACCCAAAATAAAAAGTGATCTCTGATATTTTTTTTAAATTTTTTTCTCCCAGACAGGTGCATCAGCTGTATTGTTTATAGCGATCGAAATGAATCTTTGTGTGTAATTTGATTGGAAGCACGGGCAGTTGGTGCCTCTTTCAGCCGATTTGAAATTCTTTTCTTTTTTCTTCCTCTCTTTCCACGTCGTCGTCGTTACTTCTTTGACCAAGAAAAATCAATGCATTAGTTCTGACGAAAAACCAAAAAATAAAAGTTAACCATCGGTCATTAAAAACGCAATATGTTAAACTGGTTTATGGATGATGTTCATGTTTATGCTATCAGAAGAAGCAAAAAACCAGAGCTATTATTAATTTGAACCTTGCAACATTGTATGATTTATGATAAGAGACAATGTTGTGCCTTCTCATCATAAAATTATCATAATTTGCTTACTGATTAATTGATTTTTCAACAAGACTTTTTCATGTTTGGAACTCTTACAAGATATGACAAAATAATTTTGCTGCTTGAATTAATTGAAAAGAAATTTTTGTGTTGTTCCTTTCTTTTTTATTATCGATCAAATGATAGCGGGTAATTATGAATTCACGCAGACGTAAAAGAGTTGATGACTGTTAAGCTGCAAATTTTCAATTGAAGAAGAAAACATTTCAGAACCTTACAAATGTAGTTTATGATAACATTTGTATGGTTTTTAAATTTCTTTTTAAGCAGCGCTGTATTTATTGAAAAATAATCATGAACCTTCTACACACTAAAGTAAAGTTTTTGATCATTTTTAAACTCAAGTACTCAAATATATGAATCAGAATCTCGTCCATTAAGTCTCTTGTAAGGCCCATTGTGCTTTAATATTAAATCTTTAGATTTCTTTGTTCACTTATTAAGTTTCAGAGCTCAAGGTCGACTCAAAACGTCGTGTCAATTTCGAGCTCTGTTGCATTCGTTTAAAGGTGTGAAGGGTCATTTGTAAATGATGTCACATGGAAAAGTCGTTATATATGCTTACAATCCAGTTAAAACAGCTCAAATCAAGAGATTCAAAAGCATTATGAGGGTTCCTTAATTATTCAACCAAAATTGCTTAGATTCCACAAAATGAGACCACGATGAGGGTAGAAACAAGATACAAAAAGCTAGTCAGGTGCCATTAAAAATGATTAATTCCGATGCGATAAGCTAGCATTAAACCTTAGCAAAAGGAATCATTAATTGAAAAATGAAACTTATTTATTCGTGTGCTTGATTATGTTCATCATAAATTTTTATTATTTTTTCTTTCTCATTTCATTAGGTTTTTCGTTTAAATATTGACCTAATTCACAATTACCAACATTATTATCAACATCTATACATCCTTAAATTTTCGGATAGAACATTTCCAAAATATATATAAGTTTTGTTCTAATAAAGAATAATAATAATAGGTTTATTTTGGCAGGGATATATATATATATATCATAGATATGCTGTAAATAGTAAATTTTTATTATAGAATTCAGCTAGAATCTTACATAGGAAATAATAAGCATAACAAAATAAATAATTTAAAAAAATCTTTCCTTTGATGGAAATGCTTGTTCCGAATTTTTAAAGAATTCACATCGAATGTGAGTCAATGAGATGGATTTAGTCATCAATTTAGGAAGTAAATCTAATCCACTAATACCTACGAGTTGGATTTAAAATAAATCCACCAGATTAAAGCTTTAATCCAACAGGATTAAATTAACATTGATCTACAAAATTATTGTGTCTAGCTTGTTGCCAAAAATAAAGTACACTTCAAATAGAAACTTAATTGCTTTGTGTTTGTGAATAATGTATGGTTATTGTCATTGTGTTACCTACAAAAAGAATGAACAATTTCACTATCGATCGGCGATGTTTTTTTACACAAATACAATAAAAATTTTAAAAGCTGCTTCCTCCCGTTCCCGTCGTACGATTATACAATTCGTTCATCTGTTCCATAAAGATAAATGTGATCACAGTATGTGGACCTAAACGGAAGTAATATGGCCAGAATCCTTTCCAAAGTGCAAATACACCTTCTTGACGACAAACCTTGGCGAGGACATCAATTGCTCCCTTGTATTCTCCCTTTCCATCTGGTCCGATCTTCATGTTCTGTATTCTATGGATCAAAAATTAATTTAAGCTTAATAAGCTCTAAAATATTGACAAATTATAAACCTACCTAGTCTTGGCGATATCAACAGGCATGGAAGCAATTGTTGTGACCAATCCACTAATCATACTGGCAACAAAGTGAAGCATAATGCCTTCATGCATGCCGTTATTAACGAGAATACGCTTAGCCTGACTATATGATGATAATTGAGCTGCATTAACGACAGCAGCACGTCCCATAGTTGGAATACATCCACGCCATAATGTCAAGACACCTTCTTCACGGACCATACGTGAAATAGCATTAATTACTGATGAATAATTTCGTCGTTGATCAAGTGGCAATTTTCCATCAGCTGTCATACGAATGAGTGAAATTTCAGCTGGATTTCCTACAAATGATCCAGTTACACCAGCAGCCACACCAAGTCCCATAGAAACAAAAAGATTTGCTTGCTTTCCTGTCTCTCTTTTGTATGTGTCATTCAAAAAGGTATATGTGCCAAGACGTGTTGTTGTGTATGTTGCTTGACGTAAGAGACCAGCTGATAAACCTTTGTATAATGCTCGAACGCCTTCACGTTTTGCGATCTTTGTAAATGCATCAAACATTCCAGTATATTCCTTAGCAGTTCCACCTTGACCTGAAATCTGTAATCGTGTCTTGACCAAATCGAGTGGCTGCACAAAACATGTTGCGCCCATGCTAAAATTGAAAAGCCATAGAATATTAAATTTTAGCGATATTGGATATATGATTCAAATTTAAACGGTATTGGAAAATTTAAATTTATTAAGTTTTTGTAGGATTCAAAATTTAACGGTTTGATTTGCTTATCAATAATTCAGCAAAGGAGTGTCATGACATTGCAATTGTTGATAATGCAAAGAGTCATGTACTTATTTTCGGCGATAACAAGACCTTGAAGATTAAATAAGAATAATGAACTGAAACATGTTTATCTGCTCACTCAACAACAACAGCTGATTAACACTGAACCAGACTTTGACGCAAGTTTGTTCTACCAATTTGAAGCACCGTGCTGATCAACAGCATAATAATGTCTGAAAATAAACCATTACTTGTTGTTATTTACGAATCTTCTTATTATTCAGCACATTTTCACACATAAAAGACGCAGATTTATTCACTGTCAAGATTACACATGATCGAGCCCCAACAGAAAGTGTCTCACATGTACACAGTTAAGACTGTCTATTTATAGATCTTGATGTTTGTCGCATGTCTTGCAAAAGAGAAATAATTTTTCATTCTAATTTTTCCGCCTATAAATTAAATATTGTAGATACATGTGACGAAATTAATTAAGACCATTGAACTCAATATGCAATTCAATATTACATGCTGTGACGGCATTAATGTAAATCCGTTGTTTACAACTCTAAATCTTAATCTGGCGACATTTTTCATCAAATGTAATTAAGAATCATTGCAGATAAGATAGCAGATCAAGATAATGTTTAAGTAAACAGGCTCGACAAGCTCTTATCGCGAATATTTCTGTTCTACTATCAATATTCATGCACAGCTATCAATTAATTGATTATGTTATTTTTTTTTAACGACCTGTTGTCAATTGATTTAAGTGCATGTTGTATGACGTGTGCCTGTCAAGGTTAGACTATGCTTATGGAGAGAGATTTATGCTGGACACAATATTATGAGCTATTGAAATTACGTAAAATGAACCTTGAAAGTAGAGTGAAAATATTGACGAAATGAAAATGAGCAGATCTATTTTCTCCACAGCCGTAGAAAAGATAATTGTGGATCACATAGTGACTCATGTCTATTTTTTGGGGTTGTATGCTGCATAAAGTCATTCAAAAATTGCCAAATATTGTTTCTTGATCAACACACGAGCGCGTTTAACTATCTTAAAATCACGGGATTCGGTTCTCGATGATGTAAATTAGTCGGAACGATAATTTTTCTTCAAGGTCTTTTGAATCATGCCTCAATGTCACTCAAAGACACGTTCTAAAAGAATTAAAGAAATAATAAGTCAATATTAATAATAGCACTTACCCGGCACTTCCTCCGAAGAGATATTGGAGATATGCAGGCTTTTTCTTTGGAGCTACTGGAGCTGGAACCTTTGTGTCACTCATTTTCAATCGATTTTAATTAACTTTCTTTTAAGGAACTTAAGTTTTTGCCAATTAAGCAATCAAATAATACAAAATTTAAAGTGAATTGAATTGTATTAAATGCAGACACCACTTTTGTGATGTGATGTGGCGCTTACTATGGGAAATACTGGATGGAACTGAGAGCTTTAAAATATTCTTTACACTCAATAATTTTCTTCTTTTACTTCACAATGATTGTTGTTGTAGATTTTCATCTGTTATGCAATAAAGCTCTATGCTTAATTTGTCATTTTCCCGTGGAACTACATATGCCGACTATAATTTTGTCATTTTATGAATGAATGCTGACTTGTTAAATTATTAACAGTACTCTGCACTAGAATTTAAAAGGTTTTATGCTGAAATTACATAGAATCATTTGCTAAAATTAAAATAATCACGGTACATGAGAAACTCTGGATTCAAATCTTTTGTTTACATTTAATAAATTTCATTAATTCTACTAAAATGCTATGATATTCAATAGAAAAAGACAATGGAAGTGAATCAAGTGCTTTCAACAGTGAGTACGCACATAACTAATGCACAGGTATGTACTCAACATGTCCAAATAGGCTGGAAAATCATAAAAAATAAAATAATCCACAGCCAAAACAAGAAGACGATGTGTTAAAGGCTGAAAATGTTACTTTACATGCCGACTGCTGCTTATTTTGCAAGAATTGTGAGTTTATTACGTTCTCACAGGATTCCTTGTCTACCCACAACTGTTCAAATCAGATTCCAGAGAAGTTTTCATGTCCTGCATATCAAATCTGTAAAATGGGAAGTTTCACATCAAAGGAATCGCTTAAAGTGCATCTACAGATTGATCATAAAGTGGCTGAAGATGAATTAGATAAGTTCTTAGCTAATATGCAGATATCTGAGATACATAAGATCCAAATCGTTGACTGTCATTTTCAAAAACATTCAGTTGGTAGCAATGACTTACAAAATAAGCCAAAAAGCAAGATATTCATTAAGGACGTAACTCTGTTGAGAAAACCAGACTTGCCGAATGAAATTAATCTTCCAAATATCTTCGATTCGTTAGATTTGACACATGAAGACGATATCTTTGACGATTTTCTGGCTACTGACGAGCCTGAAAGCTTTGATTTTGACTTTGAGGAACCGACCGTACACACTGAACAAGATGATGTGATTATAGCCAATTCCGAAGTTCTAAATAATCCCGATGGATCATTAACTGGTAAAATATTCGTGAGAGCTTTGAACAACATGTGCGAGGAAGCGACTAAAGCAGACAGCTCCGAAACTGACCTTAAATCTCAAGCATATGAAAGCTCAACAAGTAAGATATTTGTACGCAGTCATGAAAGCTTAACAAGCCAAGTAATTACAACAGATGTAGCACAACAACCTTCAGAATCATCAACCCCAGACTGTGTCATCGTGTCCTCTGAAATAGTTGAAGAAGCTCCAACACCAAACAAAATATTTATCAGAAATATTGAGACATTAACAAATCCACAAGCTGCAGACGCGATTAATAAGCAATTCTTTGATGAAAATGTCGCAAATACAACTGCAAATTTCTTAAATCACTCGACTACTAATTACGCTAATGCATTTACACCCTCAATTTACGTTAGAAGTTATGACAGCTTAATTAGCGAATCTCATCAACAAATAACGACAGAAACAACTGAAGAAACATCTCAGTCTATCTGTAAAATTTCTATTAAGAACATGAACACCTTAATTGAGCCGACTTTGATGAATCCACCAACTTTGGGTATGTATATTGAGAAGTATGGCAGAAAGTTTTCGAGATTTCTACTCCCAATTCGAAAACTCTCTGCCATACTTAAACATTCACACAAAGTTGGAAAAATAACCGTTAAAAAATACTAGAATTTTCGAAAATTTTCAAACATTTTTTGATTTTTGGTTTTCAAATAATTTAAAGTCGTTATTTTTCAAATATTTTACTGCCGTTATTTGACAATTCTAATTCTCTAATCACAATTTCATGCATATAAATAGGAATATTTGGAACAGCCCAAAATCTGGTCATTCACATGCGACAAAATAACACTGATGAAAATTTAATAAACTTTCGTGACACTAGCGTGACTCCAGATACTTTACCAGGCAGTTCAAATGTATCAACGTGTGGTGGAACTGATGATGTAATTATACTGGACGATAGCGAGATCAATGACAATTCATTCACGACTTTTTCAAGTGCCGCAGATTTACAGACAAGTCTAGATGTCTGCAATGAAAGTGAAAAGATTTCAACAGAAGAGGTCGTGCTTGAAAATAATGAGATTGAAAATCCTGAAAGAAATCAGACACCAAATGACAAGCCAAAAATTGACATAACACCGCATGAAAATCAAAACACAGACAATGTTGAAGATCAGCCAATGACAAGAATACCGATGGATATAGCAACAGTTAATGAAGAAATTGACATAGAAAAAGAGGTACCGAAAAAGAAAATGAAAATAATTAAAATAATTCGTGTCAAAAAGAAAGCCACAGAATCAACAGTCATAAATCCACTTGATGCAGTCCAAGTCGTTTTTAAATGTAATATTGGAGAATGCTCGCAGCACTTCTCGTCCGCAAAACTCCTCAATTACCATAAACGTTGTCATTTTAATATCAATCAAATTGTGTGTCCGGAATGCAATAGTCAAGCATTTAAAAGCTACAATACACTTCACACACATTTATGGCGAAATCATTCAATTGACATGGACCTCTTTGGTTGTAAATTGTGCAACTTTAAAACTCCAATCTTGTCACGTCTTAAAAATTTCCATCAAAAGATTCATTTGAGCGAAAAGAATTACAAATGTGACTACGCGAGTTGCAATAAGCGATTTAAGAATGCAAAGCAGCTTAAGAATCATTCACAAATTCATAAAGCTATGAAGAAAAAGAACAAAAGTATTCAGGCTAATGACAATGACTCGATGAAAAAGATCAGATGTCAGATTTGTAACAAAGGATTTTCTAGTGAGTCTGGCCTTTATATTCACTTTATGGAGCATAAAAATGACGAAAAGAGATTTATATGTGAAGAAAAAGGATGTGAATACTCAACGAATGATCACAATAGCTTCAGACGACATAAATTTCAGCACTCTAAAACTCATCAATATACATGCCCAGCTTGTGATTATAAATCCATACAAAGTAACACTTATCGTAAGCACTTGGAGAAACAACATAAAGAACTTGCTGAAAGTTTGCTGTTTAAGTGCGGTTCTTGTAAATTTGTTACGATAAGTAAGAGTAAATACGATGGACATGTTGCTAAGCATTTTGGAGATGTTTAGAGTATTTTTTGTAAGAATTTCTAATAAATTAAATTATCTGTGATACAATTTATATTTATAACGATAGATGTGAGCTAAATTATAAATCGAAGAATTTCTGAAATAAAGAAATATGCCTGAATAGTAATTACATTTGAGTTTTTAAAAATATTAATTTTTAAGCACGTGAATTTGAACGTTTGGTGAAATTTGCTAATTTTTGGTGAATTTTTAATCGAATTCAACTCAATTTATTGAATTTTGCTGAAATATTTATAACGAACTTTTGAATTTTTGAAAGTTTTACCCCAAAGTTGTGGTAAGTTCGATTTTAAAAATTCAAAATACGTTAAGAATTTCTCAAATAAAGAAATATGTCTGAATAGGAATTACATTTGAGTTTTTAAAAACATTAATATTTAAGCACGTGAATTTGAACGTTTGGTGAAATTTGCTAATTTGTGGTGAATTTTTAATCGAATTCAACTCAATTTATTGAATTTTTGCTGAAATATTTGTAATGAACTTTTGATATTTGAAAGTTTTACCCCAAAGTTGTGGTGAGTTCGATTTTAAAAATTCAAAATACGTTAAAAAATTTCTTCAAGACACAAAACTCACCACACTCTAATTTTTTATCTTTAAAATTCGCCACAATCAACATTTAAACCTCAAAACTCACTTTCAGCCAAAATTTAAAACTCACCAAAACCTGAAAAACTCGCAACAAATTTGTGAAAAACAAGAATTCAAATTTATCTTAATCTTTATTTTCCAAAAAGATTTATTTTTACTTTCTACAATTTTAATTCCAGTGGTGAAAAATGATTATAGTGACGACTCTTTACATTTTATTCATTTGTAGTGAACAGTAATTCTTTAAAATAATTGATTAGTTACTTTTTTGTTTTTAATTTTCTTGAGTTGACATTAAAATTAATTGAAAATTGTTACTGTCGGATCTAAGCACTAAAATAAATTTGTTGATTTTCTAAATGGCCGTTAAATCTCGTCAATCATCTTTTTTTTTCGTGTAGAAAAATTAAATTATCTTAAAATCAGTCTTGTTAAAATGAAAAATATAAGAAAATTGGGAAAATATTAAGTAAGGCACAAGAAGAAAAAGATAAGAAAGATAAAGTTACTACAAAAATTTGCTAAGCGTTAAACACTTAATGACTCTAGATAGCTAGCTAACGACCAGAATATGTGAATAATCATTAATGCTGTATTAAAAATATTATTAATTAATATTATTTGAGTGGGTTAATCGTATCAATTTAGTGAATAAAATGTCTATAAATTATCAAAATTAGACCTTAATTCTTCGCACGCCACATTCAATACAGAACTTGGCTGTTGGTACAACAAACTTATATCCACACATGTGGCAAAACTTTGATAACTGTAAATTGTCATTCGCTGGCTCATCCTTACTCATCGATCGTCCCAATTGTGGATTTCCATTTCTCGGAATCATTATTGTTTCTTGAAATGCAGGCGCTTTAACGGGACTCAAGACAATTTCTGTTGTTTTAAGCTCTAAATGTTGTCGAGGTGGGACAGGTGGTGGAATATATGAAGGCGGTTGACGAATGTAATTTGCATTTCCGTTCGATTGATTTGGAAGTTTACGATAATCTAGTGGCGATTGAGATTGTCTTGACAAGCTGTAAAAGTGTGTAAATTGAGTCATTAATATTATTTATTTATTTTATTGAAACTATGTTCATTTTTGGAAGTGAAAGGTGCAATAAAAATATTTTAAAATAGTGCAATATTAACGGCATCAGATTTAAGGTTTTAGCGGTTTTCAAAATTTCAAATTTTAACGGTTTTGTAGAATTCAAAAGTTAACGATTTGGTAGATTTAAAATTTAACGGTTTTGTAAGATTTAAGTTTTCGTCCAAATTAATCTTGAGATTAAATCAAATCCCAGGCTTTAAAAATACTCTTTTCTAAATCCTAGAAAAGTGGACAACACAATAAAACTTAATAGAGATCCACCCACAATAATAAAGCAACACAGAAAAGGAAATCTAGGCTAATAGGAGATAGTCACATAGCAATTAATACTTTACCTTCCATATGCAGAATCTGCGCTTGATTTAGATCGTGTCGTTTGCGATTCACTCGGATCAGTTTCGAAGCTATTACTTTCATCAGAATCTGAATTACCAGAAAGCATTTTACATAAATTATCGAGTTTTTGCATTCCCGTCATGTCATTTTGAGTCTTTTGTTGCTGCTGCTGCTGTAATTGTTGTTGTGGCTGAATTTGTATTGGCTTACTTGCAATATTATTATTATTAACGTTATTAATGATATCATCCTTAATATTTTTTGATTCATCTTTACGACTATTATTGTTATTCTCTTCATCCGCTTTCACAGACTTATTCAACAGCATTTTATAGTCTTTAAAAATTGGAAACTTCTCATCGTCTGTGAACGAGGCTATAAACTGATCAAAATCAAAATCCTCAAAAATTGACCCATTATTTGATGCTCTCGAATCAGGACGAATCAGGCTATTGTTCTTACTGTTATCACTACTGCTTGGCGGTGTCGTTTTCATCATCGTTTCCGCTGGTTCTGTATCAAATAGAATATTATCTAAATTATATTTTTTCTGACGTCTTAATCCACTGCCACTGCGACGACTAGTTCCAACTGTCGCTTTTTCAGGAGATTCACGCGGTTCCAATGATGGCGAACGGCTTTTATCACTAACATTATTATTATTATTATTATTATTGCTAAGCAAAGGCAAATTATCACATGCATTTATCAATTTTAATGGTGCTGAATGACTTTTGCCACTGTCTGTTATGTCACTTTGCTGCTGTAAGCTTGCATTTAAATTATCAATCGATATAAGTTCCTTCTCTTGCTCAATGCTACTTAAATTATTGAAATTGTTCACAATTCCCTGTGTTTTTGGTTGTGGCTTCATCATCATTGTCTTTCCATTTATATCCGGTAACTTTTGATCTTTAAGAAGGAAATTTGTGACTGAACGTTTACTCAAGCTGTTATTGCTTTTATCTTTAAGGTCCTTTTCAGATAGCTGTGATGATAATTCACTTTCATATTTAAGAAAGAGAGCAAGTGAGTCAGTTTTTGATAATGGATAGTCTGCAGATGGCATGTTTGGATTCTTCAAGTCCAATTTAAGATTCTTTCTAAACAATCCGTTTGCTTTGTCTCTCATTAATACAGGCTTATTGCTATTATTACTATTATTATTGTTATTGCAGACAGGCAAAGTTGGTGATGGAGATGGAGACAGTGAAGCTCTTAATAAATTATGTGGAGGCGATGCTGCTTTCTCTACTAATTTTATGGCACTATAAGGCGACTTAATCGGAAGCTCATCATAATCGGTAGCCTTAACGAAATTCGGTGAAATTGGACCATCATCAGTGATGCCACAATGGACATTTGATTTAATTGGTGGCGTATAAACAGGCTTCGGCTTGCGATTTGATATTCTCAGCGATGAGGTGCGTCTAAAGTTACTTTGCATTTTTGGGATTGGCTGTGGTGTCTTTGGAGAGATTGTTTGACTCGTGAACGACTTTGACATTATATCGTTATTACTTTTGTTATGCTTATTATTACTAATGCCGCTATTCGGTGTGGTCATCATTGAATTAATCATTTTTGTCGATGGTGTTGGTGTCGTGGGCGAAAAAAGTTCTTCCAACTGCTTCTTTGCCGATAAAAATGGATCGTAATTTCCACTAAAATTATAAACAGTAAGAAATTGTAATAAAATGCAGTATTTAGAGCTCAGACTACTTACTTATCACTAGTAAAAGACGAAGTCATTGAATTTATAGTCGAATCAAAGTCTGCAAGACTGTGCGTCGATCCATTGCAGCTTGCCGCATATTTTTCTCTAGTAACACCGCGTTTAGTTCTATAAATAAACAGCAGGCATTCATTTATGAGTCATGAATAAATCAAATCAACAATAACTCACTTCAAATTCGGTGCTTTATATCCAATTCTTGTTTTGAGTCTCTCTTTCGCAATCGATACAGTTCTCGGATCAGGATTTGGTTTAATGAGAGACTTTTCCTTGCACCATTCAACATGTCTATCGTAAGCTTTAAAAACACATTTTAGGTACAATTAGAAAACATTTTAACTGTCAATTTTTTTTTCTCACCTTTAAAGCCAAAAACTCTTTCGCAATAAGGACACTTTTCTGGGCTGGGCTGTGATGACACTCGTTTAACAGCTGGTCGCGAAACAGTACTTGCCAAACTTATTGTAGAACTCTTTCGACTCATATTATCAAGTGGAATATGTCGTGGCTCTATTGTATTTATTGATTGTGTTTTAAGGCTCGTCAAGCTCGGTTTGCGTTGCAAGAACTACAAAAAATAAGGAAAAAAAAATATTAAAAACATGAAAAATGAGTCATTAATCCCCGCTTCTTTTGCAAGATTTCTCTCGCTGCTTATTAAACAACAAAAAATATTAAATTTCATACATGCTACTGTGTCTACTTGATACACAATAAATCTGAATGAGAGATTTTAAAATAAAGAATATTGCTTAAGAATACGAAAATAGAAACAGTCGAAAAACCACTTGAAATAAATACAAAACTTTCTATCTTTAATTCTCTCCTCAAAAAAATCACTACGTAAATTCTCGACGAGATGTTCTATTCAGATGTTGTAAAATGTGACTGAGAAATGTTGTGAAAAAGAATAAATAAAGTCTCATTGCAATATGTGGATTTGAAATTAACTATACAACGATCTTACAAAACAACAGTCAGGAATGAGTAAGATAGAGAGAGAAATGAAGAAAAATGGCATATAAATGGATGGCTTGAAGTCCAATTTAGGAATCCCTTTTTCATGAATGACATCTACCTTGCCAGATATTTATATAAAAATCATATAGACAACATGAAGCATTTGGAATTTAAATTGCTTCGAAGGCTCATCATTATTTTCAGTTGAAGCATAAAATTTGAATTTTGAACAGTCAAATAAAATTTGAATTTCAAGACCATACAAATGTTATTTAATCTCATTTTTAAAACATTTGAAAGGTTTTAGAACATTTTTGAAAAAATTGTATAGCTTTCATAAACTTTCGTGTGGTTTTAAGATTCAAATTTCATGTAACCGTTTTGAAGCAAAATCAAGCCAATCATTAATCAAGATTTAACGCAATTTTTAAGCAGCTGACTGTTTCCCGGGACAGACTCAAAGTTTTGAGAAAGAATTCTAAACTAGTAAATAATAAAGAAATTCTAAATGAGAATATATGGGGAATTCACATTGTCACTTTATATGGAAAGGAAGTGAATACATCAATTAGTATAATTCACGTTCCTTCTTATTCCTTCCTCCTTCTTTTATTTGTTATTCGCACAGTCATAATAAAGTAGAATATTTTTGTGTATTGAACAAAATTCATGTTTTGTGGTAATAAATTAAATTAACGAGAGTCACAAGCATTTACATACCGTTTTTGGTGGTGAGACTCGCGTGGTCTCTGTTGGTGCTGAGACGATATGTTCTGTTCCTTTAAGGCGCTGTTGTGATGAATCAAAAGGCTTTCTTTTCTTTGTGTTGATTCTTTCGCATATCATGACATGCTTTAGAAGCGTTTCAGGTGCAAAACGACGACTGCAGACAGGACATAAATCAAGCCGAATATTTGGCGGTGGAATTTCAATAAATATTTCATTTATTTGCTGATTCTCGTCATGATCTTGATGTTGCTCAGGCTGATAAAGACGTGAATAGTCGGCATTGAAATCTGAAGGATAAAATGAAGCGATTAGCACATTATGATCTGTTAATTAAGCAACGATAAATTGTGAAGTGATTAGTAGTAATTTTTTCCGCTGCTGCCAAACTTGGATAATTAAATTTTAATGAACATTCTTTTCTCTTTTTTTCACATCGTGACTATCGTTTGTGGCTTAAACGTGATTTTTAATTATTAGCTGCTAATAGATTGCTGTTTTTGGAATTAGCTAAAGATTATGATTGTTCTTGGTAAACCTTAAATCGACGAAGAAGCTCGTCATTCCTTTGTTTTCGCAATAAATTGCAATATATTCGTATCGATTAACATTGTGACACGTCATGCCAATAAAACAGTAATTGGCTTTTTATTATGACATATACATTGATGTGGTCAATCAAAATATGAACGTAGGAGGATGACAATGGATATAAAAATCAAACAAAGCAGCAAAAAAAGTGCAACAACCGGTTTTTGTTTCTACTTTTATGTTGGCTTTAATAAATTTTAAAAAGTTTATTAGCTGCGCTTTGTCTGCAGACTTGTCAGTTATAAAGTCATTAGTAGTTTCAAAATTTTAGCCTTTTCAGTTGAATCTTTTGATTCAGTTTAGTTCTTTAAATTTTACTAGATTTCAGATATTGCGCTTCTTTAATCACAATCTATTACATCTAAACTAGTTTTCTGTAGCTAGCTGCTCATATGTCACGATTTACTCTACTTAATAAACATAATACATATTTAATTAAACGATTTCAAGTTCTCTCGCAGTCCTTCTTGATTATTAATTTATTTTTATCTCAAAAAACTGGAATTCCTTCATTCTTATGCGAATAAATTCCTTCAATTCGACGAGATTTTACGCTCGATTTCAATGCTTGAATCTTTTCTTCTTCTTAGCTCATTATTTAATTCCTTCCATTTATTTTCAAGGTAAACTGGAGATGTTTTTGACATTCTTATCATCGCTCGTTTGCTGAGCGGCTTTGTTTTGTAATAATTAAGCAGATTATTATCAAATAAAAACTTTTTTGTGCTGACATGATCTTACAACTCTCTCAATTCTCAACTCTAAGGAATATTTGAGTACAAATATTATATTACATCTATATATGACGTAGATCGATCATATTGACACATGCAATATGTTCTTTTGTTTCGCTTCAATCGTGACAATTTATTGATTTTTCCGGCGCATAGAGATTGTCATAAATGTTTGTTTTGTGGCGTTTATAATGTCACAACCTATCACGAAACAAAAAGAAGCAGTAAAATATTAACCGACAATTCTGGGTTACACACATATTTGATTGAAATATAGTGCATTCAACGCAGGACATTAAGTATCTTATATGATTGAAATATTATCAATAAGAGTGACATTTTTATACGTGTTAATAACTTGCTGAATTTGAATTTTTAACTGTCAAATGGAATTTAAATTCTAAAACCATATAAATGTCGACTTAATAAAACATTTGTACGGTTCTTAAACATTTCTTATTGTTGTACGGTTTTACAAGGCTTTTATTGTTCTTAAAACACCCTTATTATCCCCGGAATCTTCATTTTACATCCCCAAAGTAAATCTCTGCGAGCCCTCTTTTTTATGGTATCGAATATTGCCTACATTAACCTTTTGTATATAATTATCATAATAAATTGTGCTCTATTTATTGAAAGAATCCCCTCAATAAAAGTAAAATAAAGTGATTGATTAATGTAGGTTGTTATATTAGCCTCCATTAAGTACTTTTCCGTAAATTATTGTCATTTGACTTGTGTTGTTGACTGAAATTCTCACCTGGTTTCTTATAAATTTCCGATTCGAATTGGAAAAATGGAAAATTCTCTTTACTAAGCATGTAATGATCATTTCCATTCATTTTAGTTCCAGCGGTACGAAAAGAAAAGCATTTTGTCGTGGATGTCGGTCTTTGTTTCACTTTTCTGACTTCACTAGCAACAGCTTGTGATTTATCTGATTGTTTTGATTGCCTCTTTTTAAATAACTTATTCCACATTCTTGTTTTCTTATATATGCCTTACTTATGGATAATATTGCTTTATTTTCACTGCACTAAATGATTAAAATTTTTGTTCTTCTATTTTTAATTTTTATTGCTTTTACGAGATGATTTTATTGCATTTTTATATTGTGATGTGTGTGTACGTTAATTAATATTTCTTCCGTCTATTTTGTACTTTTTTTACCCACATATTGAACGTTTTAAATTACTATTTTTTGATGAGAAAATAAATTTGTAGTTTAATTTTCCTTTTCTGATAAAATGTCAAGGGATGTGTGGCTTTTAGTATGAAAATTCACTTTCTTATAGTTCTATAAACGCTTATAAATATAAATCAGTTACTGTTATGCTCTATTAATAGCATGAATTAATGCTTTTCACTTATTCTTATTCTTTGTTTACAAAATTTTGACTCTTACAAAAGAATTCAAATTTTGTCGTCAAAATTTCATTGAGTTTTTTTAAAAAAGTTCAAATTTAACGGATTTTAAACAATTTAACCACGTGCGATTACCAAAACACATGCGTAGCCTTGTCAATTCTACAAACTTGGCACGAATCTTAAAATTCATTAACTGTTAAAAGTCCACTTTTCAACAACATAAGATCTTTGATCTTTAAAATGGATGTTAAGCATGTGTAACACAATAATTAAAAAGCTGTTTATGCGAAAAAATGTTGTTTTGTAAATTAAAATCCTGTCCGATATTTAAAATTCCGTGAAATCGTAACGAGCACAACAAACATGAGATATTAATTCTCAAAACTGATTTTGACTTATGAGCTCATTCATCCAGTAAAGTTGAATGTTAAATTAGCATTAAAAAATTTTAATGACTTTTGAATTTTTCCATCCCTTGACTTCAGTCAGATTCTTAAATAAAGTTTATGGTTTGTTCTCTAGAAAAATACAGCAACATATTAAAAGAATTGAATTTCATCTCGGCTTGTTGTGAATTCGATACGTTTTGTAGAACACTTTTCTAATTAATTTTATTTCACTTGATTTATGGCGAAAAGAAAATTCATTCATTGGCTTTACATGCTGCATATTATAATATGTGCAACTCAATCCATTTGATATTCACAATTAGTTGCATTTATTGCAGAGAATTAAAATTTAAATAAGAGAAACAGCGTTGGGGATAATTCACTTGTGATGTTTGTGGGGCAAGAGGGGGGGGGGGGGGATTTTTAGAATATTTTTTCAAAAATAATAATTGTGGTGGGAGGAGTTGGTATTTAAAATTTTAATTTTTCAAATGACATCATTAATGAATGATCACTTTTATGCTGGCCTGAGTGTGCCTTATGAATGTATAATGAATTTCTTTTCTTTATTTTTGCTCCACACTTTAATCGACCCACTCGAGAATATTTTTTCATTTTAATTCATACCAAAACTGATCGCTATGCTCTCTTTTGTCAATCAAACTTAACAACACAACTCGCGAATATTGAGAACAGTCAACATCACTTCTTAATTAACAATAATAAAATAAACTATCGAAAAATATCCAGCAGTGACATCACTCAATGTTATTAATTAATCGAACCGAAAATACACAAAACTTCACAGCGAGAATCTCGAACAAGAAGAAAAAAAGTAAAGAATCTTCTTTTTTAAGACAACAAACTTGATTATCTTTTGTGTGGTGATCCCTTGAGATGTCGTCTAAAGACTGAGTAGTGAAAATAAAAATATCAACTCTAATGCTCACTTCAACTTCAACTGAGAAACTCTGCTCTGCCTGCTGGCTTCTGTTGCTTCATTTTCTCACATTTCGGGAAAGGAAAAACATTCGTTTCTTATGACTATATATTTAAAATAGCATATATAGGTGCCGAATGAAAACGCAAGTTAATACATGTGAGAGAGAGGCACAAGAAGAGCATGGCACAATCATGATCAAGAGAATGAGCGAGATTTTTTTTTTTTTGTTGTTTTTTTTCCCCGAAAATTAGTAGCTAGGCGACAAAAATTTGTATCTCATTAAATACGTACAATATTTTTGCATGATAAGAAGAACTAGGTGAAACAATAACTGAATTAATTGCGGTAAATTACATGATTATGAAAGTTTGTGATTTCTGTTGAAATTAACGGACTGATTTTGAAATTCCAACTGTAATTATAAATTTGAAATAAATTTGGTCATCGCGGAAAATTTCAAAAACAATTCAAATTTTATCCGTTAAATAACGTATTTTTTAATCTTTACGCATTTGGAGCCGTTCAGAAGCCTCCTAGTTCCTCCACGATGAATAATTCAAACATTAATAGACTCCCATTCACACAAAATAGACACATATGTTGATAAAAGATGTGAATATTTACAATTCAATAAAATATCAACAACCATAAGCACACATACATTACGATTGAGTTTTAGCGATCAAGATAACGCACAATAAAAAATGTTTGCATACCGACTCGTAAGTAATTCATGATCGCATTTCATTTGGTATTTTACTTTTTAAGGCATCATTGAGACCGTGGTGAAAATGTGACATTTATGCTTTATATTGAAATTTCAACATATCTCGAATAGATGCTCAAGCGGTCATTTCCGGATCAGAATTTAATTACATCTCATAATTTTTGTACTTAAGACACTCGAAAAGAAAATTAAACAATAAAAAATCATCATCATTTACATAATAAGGCACATGTGCATGAGCCACGAGTGTATAATATTTTGGCATTGAATTTTAATGACCACGGAACATACATGTTGTTTTGATAAGCAAGCCTTCACTTACGATTCGAAGAAATGAAAGGTAATCAATGACAGCACAATTTACTTTTTCTTAACAAGAAGAAATGAACAATTATAATTCATATCTCACTCTCGTACGCAATACTCAATTTTAATTCTCGTTTTCCTCTTCTTTCATCGTTGACTGCTCCTCGTTAATGAATAACAGAATGAGACTTAAAAGTGTCATCTTGTCGTGGAAATCTAAGACATTTCACTCGTCACACAAGCAGCATGGAGTGTCTATAATTATAATTGAAATGAGTAGGAAAGAGCTTGGATGGTCTAGAACAAATTTCCGTTATGGTCTATGAAAAAGTTTGTAGATCTACAGGAAAGAAGGCAGGGTGACTGCGCAAAATAAAAATGGTTAAGGTCTTGTTTTGTTATTTTCACGAACAATTTACTTTTGTTCCACTTATTCCACTTATGCTTTACGATTGATTTGACATGGTGGATTAAAAGGAGTTTAATGTTAGACTTGTGCATTATTTCTGTTGTATTGTTTGGGTCAGGATTGATGAGGGGCGTTCATTAATGATGTTTATGATTAATTTAGATTTTGAGACTGCTTGCAGACTGCTACTTCTACTTTCAGACACGGATTAACGAAAAAAGCAGTAATTAAAGCATCCTCTGAAGATCTGGCTCCCCCTTCCCCTCCTGGCCCCCTCAAAAATCCATAATATACGCAAATCCGTGAAAACACAATAAAGTATAGCTTGTCACCACGTTTTGGTTGACAATTCTGTAGCAAAAATTTTACTTAATTTAATTACAGGCTTGGTTGCATGAACGAGAACTTTGTGCTGTTTTTTCAGAAATTTATGATATCACGTTGTAAAAATAAACATTATCCACATTAGGGTGGAATGAATATAAACAAATAAACGACAAAAATGTCTTCAAAAATATTTAAAACATCCAATTTAAAAATGACAGCATCGCCTGCAAACTTTATAAGTTGATACTCTCATTTCATATATTCAGTATTATTCAGAAGTTGAAAATTATTTTATGGCTGGTATCTGAGTCAAAATAGTCCAACAATAACATTTGTCATCTTTTTATAGACCCATCAATTTTTTCAGATAAAATCTCCATTAATAAAATGCAATATCAATGTTGGAATTTCATGACAATCAAGCTTCAAGGTGAAACAATAAAATTAATTATAGCTCTTTAATTGATAGTGAAAATGGTTTCTGATTTCTGAGTAAATATTGTGTTAAGTTACCGGATTTGAATGATTCTTGGATTGCTGATGATGCTTTCGGATCTCGGAGTATATCTTTAGATTATTTCATTGTCAAATGTTGATTCAAGGACAAAAGATACATTGATAATCAGAATACTTGATAGAAGAGAGCCTAATCAGGTACAAAACTTTTACAGGAAGTTGGAACAGATCAGAAATTTACGCTCAAACTCAGCTCGGATTTTTAGCTCAATTTTACAGATAATCCTATCAAAATTCTTTAAAGCTCTAGAAAATTAAAAGCCAGATAGCCAAATCATTATTAATAAGGTTGCATGCCTCTAAGAGGATTAAATTCAATCAATATTCTAATTTGAATGCTAATCTAATATAATCCAAGCATGAAAGCATGTTCAAAGTTCATAAACATAGGCTTTATGATTATTTCTAGCAAATTATATGCTAAGAAGCTTGCGATATAGATTGTTAATGAAAACAAAGACAAATAAAGATTGAGCTAGCTTAGAATATTGAGATTTTGTATATTTAATAGGTAGTTTTGTATCTTTGGGATCATAATAAGTTCCTTACTGATTATATAAAATACTGAGTTTGTCTTAGGCCATTCACTTATTACGTAACGCTTTTAGGGAAGGAGGGGGGTCTAAGATTTTGTTACGGTTCAAACAAGGAAATTTTTTTTTCATACATATTTGAATTCTAATGGAAGACTGAGCATTTGGATGAATACAGGAAAACCAAGTTTGAAGTATGCTTTCTCGCTATCGGGATCGGGATCGGGATTTCCCGGGATTTACCGATCCCGATCAATCCCGGGATCCCGAAATTTATCGGGATCGGGATTGAAAATCCCGGTTTTTTAGTTTAGGAAATTATTGATGTTTTAGAACCTGCTAAATACGCGACAGAAGAATTATTGCGTAAATCAAACGATTTATTAATTGCTGAAGAAACAATTAACTTTTTGCTAGACGAATTGTCGCTACAAGGAACATTATTGTCTCAAAAGGTTTACGATATGAATTGCGCTCGCATAGGTGCACGAAGAAATGGAACATTAATTGACTTAATACTTTACCTGAATAATCCTCAATATATTTCTTTAGACAAGCATTTTAAATCGTCAACAAAAGCTGCAATACATAAACTTGGCATTGACTTATTGAAGAAGTATTTTGTCAAAAACTCTACAAATGGAGCTATGGAAGCTTCAACATCCAGTGCAAATCAAATCCAACCGTCAAACATTTCTATTCGAGATAGACTGAAATCAGCATATTTGAATATACATCATTAACAACAGATGCAGCAGCAACAGAACCAAATAACTTGAAAAGAGAGTTTAATTGGTATGACAAAAATAAGAAGAGAACCGTTTTATTAGATCAACTTTACGATGAATTGATAACAATGCAGCCGACCTCAACTCAAAGCGAACGAAATTTCTCTATTAGTAACAACATTCTTACAAAACAAAAATGTCTTTATCAACATTTATTTTCTATTTTTGTTTATGTTCACATTTTTCAAAGGAAACATGGATTAAAACATCTACCTTGTAACACATAAAGTATAACTAATTAATTAAGGAATAAATGACCGTATAAGTAGCAAAAAAATATATAATTTTTTTTGGGAAAAAAA